GGTTGGTCTATTTACTGTTTACGCTACAGTCATTACTGTAGCATAAATAGTGATTCTTTGGATCTTCCTATGAGTATAGAAGAGTAGATACCATATAGGTACGCACTAGTTAGTGGGAGGAAAACAAGGGGGCTTTTTCGATATTAGTCACTTAAATTATTATTATTATTTTGATAATAGTCTTCCCAACCTTTATAGTTTTGATATTAGTACTCTAAATTGCGTTAGTGATATAAATCCATCTATTACTCTCTCTCTCTCTCTAGCAAAAGCCCTCAGCCATCGTTAGCTGAAAAATTACAAAGTAACCCCTAAACTGATATCAACCAAAACCTACCAGCTAATTACAAAAAAACCAACCAATCCCGCCCCATTCCCAGGCAAAAAAATTTTACCAAACGCGCCTTTAGTCAACCCCTCAGAATTCCCACCACCTCCTTATAAAATAAAATCTCTCTCTCCCGCCTCCTCTCCCCTTACATCCTTACAGAGAGAGTAGAAACACATTTTCTCTAACAATGGAGTTGGGCCTGGCCAAACTGAAAGCCATCAAGATCCTCGAGCAAGGCCCTTCAGTCTCAAAGTCATCAACAAATTGTCCGTCTGTTTCAAATCTGACTCTCACCGTTAAGCTCGTCGGGGCTCGGTGTCCTTCCCCACCTTAATCATCTCTTTTCCCCTTCTCTTCTCGCCTCTATTGAGACTCCTCTGTATCTCACCCATGCCGTCCCCTTTTGATGACGTGGCGATATTTGGGTCATATTTGATATGAGTCTAAATGCAAGGATCATCGGAGTCTTGGATCATGAGGAGAGAGAAAATTTTGAATTGATAGAGAATTTAGAGATAATGAGACCGAGCTAGTCGAGATTGAGGGGTTGAGAGAGAGGGAGGGAGGAGGCAGAGGAAGAATATGAGAGAGAAGGGTCGTGGTTAAAAAGTAATAGAATTTTTTAAAACAGACATTTCTTAATAAACTATGACCTTTTGTTGCTAAAATTAGCAAAATCGATCTTTTTTGGTCATGTCATCATTGCTGCTCAAAAAATCGATTTTACAAAAAATATAACTTTTAAATTCCAAAACTAATAGTCCCATGTATTTAGTGATATAAAATTTACTAATTACACTACTAAATACACGGAACTAATAATCACATTTATTTAGTAGTACCAAAATAAAGTGTGAAACCCTGTCCTCCAAAAACTTCATCCTCTGTTCCACTTTTTTCCTCTCAAACTTCAGAGTCCAGAGCTAATCACCCCCTCCCACCAACTACTTAATTCACAAAATCACCCAATAGCCTTATTCATCCGTGGCTCCTTCATTTCTCGCTCCCTCTCCCTCTTCACCCTCAGTCACCATTACCCTCACCCACTTCTTCACCCACCCACCCCCCTCCCTCTCATCCTCCTCCCCTGACCCAACTTTCAACTGTCCCTTCATGAGCTCCACCGCATCCTTCGACCGTTCAGACTCCAACTCTATGAACACTAAACCCTTCCCTCCCCCTTACAACCCATTTGTGAACGTAGGGGATAGGGGGCCCACCCACGTGCCCATGCTTTGTTTCCCCCACGCTCGCGATTGATGATGGCGCTGTGTCTTCGGGCCGCTTGTCCTTTGAGTGGCCACGACGAGCTCGTGGGTGTTGAGCGGCCGACCCACGTCCCTTTCCAACGCCCTCGCGAGGACAGCGCCGTTCTCGTCGCCTGCCAGCCCACATCGCGTCCTCCCATGTCGAGTTCATGCGCGAGTTCTTTTCCCGCGTGCGCGAGTTCGTTTCCCGCTTACCCGCATTTTATCAGCCCGCCTAAATTTTAGATTTGCCCCCATGATCTCTCCTATAAATAGAGAAGGGGTGGAGGGGTTTTGTGGTATGGGTTGTGTGGAGTTCTTTTGAGAGAAAAGAAAGAGTGAGTTGAGAGAGAACTTGTAATAGTTTGGTATTCTCCTCATAGTGAAAACCCCCTCCCGTGGACGTAGGCAAGTTTGCCGAACCACGTAAATTTGTTGTCTCGATCTTTACTGTGTGTTATCATAGCTTGTAGGTTCCCTCGATATTTCAGTCTTAGAACTGATGAGAGGAAGAGTGTATATTTCACTTCGATGAAATATATCACTTTCGATTCTTGTTTCCTTTGAGAAATAAGAATTTCACTGTCTATTCTAGTTTTCTTTGAGAAACAAGAATATAGAGGTTGACTTGTGCTTTTGTGAAAATGAAAGACAGGGCTATCTCTCAGGTGATATCGCTTCCGCGGCGTGTGAGCGTGACTCTGCGCCCAACAATTGGTATCAGAGTCCTTATTCAGATTGGCGGTGGTTAAGCTACTAATCTGAGGTGGTGGTTGACTATTGTGTGGTGAACACAATTGGCGGTGGTTAAGCTACTAATCTGAGGTGGTGGTTGACTATTGTGTGGTGAACACAAAGAAATTGTAAAAATTCATGAGAGAAGCGGATTTACATAATACAAGCGGAAAATGGCTTCTACAAGTAAAACAAGTAAAGTTGGAAAATACAAGATTGAAAAATTCAATGGGAAAAATAAGTTTTCCTATTGGAGGATGCAGATGAAAAATTCGCTGATTTCGTAAAAATTGCACAAGACTTTGGCTGGAAAAGAGAATAACAAAAATATGTCTAATGAGGATTAGGAGGAGCTGGATCTGGAAGCGCGGGCGTTGATTATCCTTTGTCTTGAAAGGGATGTAGCTTTCTTGGTGGACGGGGAGGAAACGGCTGCGGGCGTGTGGTTGAAGTTAGAAAGCACCTTCATGACAAAGAGTCTAACGAACCGGATCTATTTAAAATCCAAATTATATACTTGCAAGATGGAGGAGGGCTCATCAATCCGGGAGTACATCAACAAGTTCGATAGGATCATATCGGATTTGAAAGATATTGAGGTGACAGTGGAAGACGAGGATCAGGCGCTTCTACTACTTCTATCCCTGCCGAAGTCTTATGAGAACCTGGTGCAAACACTGATGCTTGTGGGTGATACTTTGTCGATGGATGAGACTAGAACGGCGCTTCTAGCAGATGATCTTCAAAAAATTGCAACTAGTGATATGACCACTGGTGGTAACAAAGAACAAGTGCAGGGACTGTTTGCCAGAGGAAGAGGCAATGAGCAAGGAAAAGGCAAGGGAGAAAAGTCTAGATCTAAATCGAGACCTCTTACGGGACGAGCGTGTTTCAAATGCGGTGAAGTTGGGTATTTCAAGGTCGATTGTCCTAACAAGAGAGTAGATGGGAAGAAGAACAACAACAAGACTGAAAGATGAGAAGGCAAGGAAGAGGCGAGCTACGCTTCAGGGGAAGGGAGCGATAAGGAATGTTATGTCGTCATGGGTGTCGAGGATACCTCCGGGAAGTGGATTCTTGATTCTGGTTGCTCTTACCATATGTGTCCAAATAGGAAGTGGCTACAGGAGCATTGATGGTGGAACCGTACTAATGGGGAACAACCATGCTTGTAAAACGATGGGGCTAGGTGATATCAAGATCAAGATGCATGATGGAGTGGTTTGAACCTTGACGGATGTAAGGCATGTTCCCGACTTACGGAAGAATCTAATCTCAGTTGGTGCTTTGGACTCCGGGGGTTGCAAGATCGTAACAATGAACGGAGTGAAGAGGGTTGTTCGGGGTTCCTTAACAGTGATGAAGGGTGTTCGTCACGGTAATCTATATACTCTCTCGGGTACGACGGTGACGGGAGATGCAGCAGTTGGAGCTGAAGGAAGGGGGGGAGAGGCGGCTTGGACACATGTCAGAGAAGGGTCTGGATCTGCTTGGTAAAGAGGGTTTGCTAAAGAATCTAAAGAAACCTTGCATGGATTTTTGTGAGGATTGTGTGTATGGAAAGGCGCACAGGGTCCAGTTTCTGAGGAGCAATCACAAGAGCAGAGGGATACTAGATTATGTACACACGGATGTTTGGGGTCCGACTCCGACAACTTCCAAGGGTGATTCCAGATATTTTGTCTCATTCATAGATGATCATTCTAGGTATGCTTGGATTTATTTTTTGAAGCATAAGAATGAGGTATTTGAGACATTCAAGAAGTGAAAGGCGATGATTGAGAACAGGACAGGGAAGAAATTGAAGACGCTGAGATCTGACAACGGTACAGAGTACACAGATGGTGCCTTCAAGGAGTTCTGTGATCAGGAGGGCATTGCTAGACACTAGACAGTTAGATCTACACCACAGCAGAATGGGGTCGCAGAAAGACTGAACCGAACACTGCGGGAGAAAGCAGTGAGTATGCGATCATATGCTGGTTTGGGCAAAGAATGGTGGGCAGAATCGATTGCTACAGCTTGCTATATAGTGAATCGATCTCCACATTCGACATTGGACGGTGATACACCCTATCGGGTGTGGTCAGGGGAGCATGCAAATTATGAGAGGCTCCGAATCTTCGGGTGTACCGCCTACTATCACGTCAACGAGGAAAAGCTTGACGCGAGGGACAAGAAGGTAATTTTTGGGA